TCCACCTCAGTCAGGCGCGGCACAGGCAGCCGCCACCCGGGCTCCCCCAGGCGGAGCCGCTTCCCGCCGCCGGGCTGGCGCTCTGGGTCCTCGGGAGGCGGGTGCGGGGAGGGATGCGCTCTCCCTTCTGCGGGCGGGGGCGAGGGCAGGGGCGGCCTCATGACTCCCGCCGAGTTACGTCCGCGGTCCCGGCACACCTCAGCCCCTGAGGAGGTGCGAGGCAGCCTCGCCACGCCCACGCCACGCCCACGCCACGCCACGCCACGCCCACGCCACGCCCCCAGCGGACACGGGTCCGCCCCTCGCTGCCGCTGTGGCCCCCTCAGAGAGGCGGAGCGCGGGCCGCGGGGCGGCCGGAGACTGCGAATGCTCGCTGCGGCTGCGGACGTCTGCGGAGCCAGCGTCTTCTCCGTGCCTCAGGGACCTGCCAGTAAAACGGGCGCTCGGGCGCCGCCATGCCAAAGCCCGCGGCCCCTGAGCAGCGCGGGGAGAGTCCGTGAGACCCCCTCTCGGAGAGTGCGGCTGGGGAGGAGGGCCGCGGGGGTCACGCGGACAGCTGTCTCCTCGGTGCGCGGATCCGCCGGGGCGGTCACACGAGTGCATGTCCAGTTCTCTTGCTTGCAGATAGAGTCTCCCCAAGTCGCTGATTCGCCCATGCTGGGCTCGAGCTTGACATCCTCCTGCCACAGCCTCTCTCTGTCCTTCGCTTAAAACGGAAGGAGCAGGGCGTAGTGGTGCACGACTCCTGTATCTCAACGCGTGAGAAGCTGAGGCAGGAGGATCACCGCGAGTTGGAGACCAGCCTGGACTACAGAGCGAGACCCTGAAACAAACAAACAAAAGACGGCCAGAAAGATTCTTAGATGGTATTTCTTCTCCTTTTCTCAGCTTTGAAAATCATTTCTTTATGACTTTTAGTCAATTCTGATTTTTGTAAATTCCATAATCACAGAAAAGAAAATGATCTTCAGTGTCAATCTAAGAAACTTGTAATTACTGCTCAATAATAAAAAACCTTAACCCTCTTGGTGATTGTTTCAAACTTAGTATGTTTTATTTCCCTAAAAATTTATAAAAACAGTAATGTGCAACAAGAATCGTGATTTTAGAACCACGGGGGCATATTATGACTAGCAAACTAGGTAATAATATCTTCGTCAAGTTCCTGTCTTATAAAGACTTGCAGATATATTACTTCCGATACTAGATAGTATTACTTTATTAGACACACATTTTGGTTTCTTTGGTTTTTTTTCTGGTACCGGGAATTGAACTCAGGACCTTGTGCTTGCCAGGCAGGCACTTGTGCCACTGAGCTATATCTCCGGCCCCTTTTTAAATTTATTTTATTTTATTTTATTTTATTTTATTTTATTTTATTTTATTGTATCGGGAATCGATCTCGGGACCTTGCACTTACCAGGCAGGAGCTTGGACCGCTGAACTATATCACCGGCCCTAATTTAATGTGTAAATTGCTGGAGAAAAATGTTTACTTAAACTCGTACAGAGCCTTTCAACATAAGCACCCCAACCATACTGTGAGAATGTGGCCTTGGTTCAGATTGGCCCTAGCTAGCTCTCAGGGTTACTTCTCTGTGTCTTAGGCTCTGTTGCCTTTTCACTCGGCAGGGGTACTCACCTGCAAGTCTACATTCCCTTCTAACGCCAAACACGGACAGACCAGTAGAGCTAAATTACAGCGGATGTGTCAGGAGCAAAATTCTTACTTCTATCATAAGTGCTGTAGCTTTGTGATTTCGAGGCTGAGCTGCACAGTGGTCTTATTTCTTCATCTTGCTAATTTGCTGTAGACCACACTATTATCTAGCTCTCTGTCACACCATTATTTAACAACTAGGCGTCGTTTAAGGGCTAGAATGCGCATAAAACCCAAAAGTATTCTACTTAATTCAACAATCTTTTGAGAACTGTGTCCAAGGCACTGTTAGATATACATAAATGTATAGAGTTTTTGTGTGTTTGTTTTCTCTCTAGCCTGAAGAAATACATATTAATAAAGATCAAAAAAGAGTGGGGGGAGTCTTTTGAGTCAGACTCATCATGATGGCAAAAACCTATACTACCAGTGCTCGAGAGGCTAAGGCAGCAGGATCATGAGTTGAAGACCAGCCTGGGCAGTGTAGCAAGACCCTGTTCAACTGGAAGTAGTCTTTTCTGATATTTACTTATACTAATGGCCATGGCCACTTCAAATAATACCTATTGAAACTACTATTCCTATGTTTTCTCTTTAATTTTTTAAATACTGCCTTGAAAACAGACCAGTTACAGAAAGAAATGCAGTGTCTTCTGTTAATTCTAATCAAAATATAAATGAGACTTGTTCAAATTAGACTCACACTTCAAAGCCCACCTCAAATGTCACATTTTTATATCATTTTACATGCCTTTCTTTTGAAAGCACTTAGCTCCCTTAATAATGGCATCTTTGGTGTCTTATTGCATTGAAGACGTGAATGAATGGAAGAATGAATGAGTTCATGAGATGAACCGCATTGTAGAGCTGTGGTGCAAGGTCCTGTTAGAGTTGTTAGAGTTCACTCTAAGTTAGAAGTCGGGGTGCCTAACACCTAAGGCTTTTGGTATGATGTGCCATGCTTACAGTGAAGCCCTCCTCAACTTTTCAGCTTCATGTTTCCCACATTACAATTTGCCCCATGCTGCCTCCACTAGATGTTTATTTTCTTGCTCTTCCCTGCATGTTCTCAATGCCTTCCTCTTTTTACATCTGGCAAATTTTCAGTCTGCCCTAAAGGAAGGACCTGCCCAGCTTCCAGTGCTGCGTATTGCACGATGCTTCCTCTTCAGAAACTGTGCTTTCTCCCTCCTGTGTTCATCCGCCCGGGGGTTACCGGACCTCATCTGTGTTCCCCTCGCACTGTATTTGTAACTGTAGAACAGTACAAACATCTTCCTTGAGTTATCTATGTATCCTGGCCACTGAACTCCAACACAATGATTTACTCAGTTTTGTACGTCCTCAGTGCCTCAGTTAATGAGGAAAAGTAAAATAGCATGGTTATTAATGTACCTTATAATCCAAATAGATTTTGAAGTGCTTTGAAAATATTTTAAGTTTAGTGTTCATTTTATTTTGCTTTGATTTATGTTAAAGTGGACACTTGCTTCTATTAATTAATTAGTTAATTAATTATTGAGATAGGGTCTTACTATGTAATTCAGGCTGGCCTTGAACTCACTAGGTAATCCAGGCTGGCTTTAAATCCATGGCAATCCTCTTGCCTCAGCCTCCTCTGTGCCTGGCTTGAGACTTGTTTTCGTTAAGTATATTAAAATATAATTAACACGAAAACTATGCTATCATGCCATGTCCTGCACATTCCTGAAACTCCAAGGCAGGCCAGTGGAGAATGAAGAAGACAGGAGTCATCTTCATGTAAGGTCAGGTGGAGCCTTCTCTCCTAATGGGAGAAAGGAACTGCCCAGGGCCTGCAACGTGTTTATTTATACAATCAGCACATGAATAAGTTCCTGAAGTGCTTAAGAGGAGGAAGAATATCTTATTTGTAGCAGAACAGCATGCCTTGGTGGCATCACGGGGAACAAGAGGAAACTATTATCTCAAGCAAGTCACTACATGCATTAGTTCCCAAAGCTGTGCACACTTCTCATGGGGCCTTGCCAAGCTCATGAGAAGCAGTGGCCTTGTCCTAGATACCTGAGATACAGATAGCTTTGCCCTCAACACTACCATGAGAGCCAAATCTATTAGTAGTTTTAACACCACTTAAGTTTCATGGTAGGACCAGAAATGTGACATGGCACATTTCTAAACCTAAAGTTTTGTTTCAAAATGAAAGATAATAAAATATATTTAAAATAATTAATAACCACCGACAAAAATATTTAAAATAGGCCTGGCATGGTGGTGCACGCCTGTAATCCCAGCACTCAGGAGTCTGAGGCAGGAGGATCGTTGCGAATTTGAGGCCAGCCTGGGCTACAAAGTGAGCTCAAGGCCAGCCTGAACTGCATAGTGAGACCCTGTCTCAAAAAGACCAAAAAAAAAACAGACCAAAAGAAAAAAAATTTAAAATAAAGCCTAGCTTGGTGATGCACACCTGTAGTCCCAGCATTCTAGGAGCCTGAGGAAGGAGGATTGTAAGTTCAAGTACAGCCTGGGCAATTTAGTAATTTACTGAGACCCTGTCTCAAAACAAAAATATAAAAAAAGTGCTGGGGATATGGCTCAGTATGAATGCCCCAGATTCAATCCCCAGTACTGCAAAAATAAAATAAAATAGACTCTAAATAACAGAAATACCACTGTTTATCAGATCAGTGAAAAGCATTATGTTGGAAAACAAGGAAACCTGATACTCTGTGTAAGTGCATATGTCATTAACCTTTCAACAGAATAATAATGGTAAATATTAACGTATATGTCATCTTAAGTGAAGCAATGTATGTATAATTGTTTTAAACTATAAATCACCTCCTTATCCTCAATTTTTAAGGAATTATTATCTACCCACACTCCTAAATTAGAAACACTTGTTTTAATTTTTTCTTTTTTTCTGTCATTCCCTAACATCCAATCTCTGTGTACACGTTCATCAAATATTATTATCTATACCAGATATTACCTGTAATGGCTAAGCTTTATTTCAAGCCCTCATCATTTCTTCCTGAGTAATCTGTATTAAGGTGATTTTCATTTTACCATTTTGTCTTCAACTGCCCAACACAATTACAAGACTTTTCTTCTTAATAAAGTATTCTTACTTCCTTAAGAACTTCTTTTAACTCTTTGATTCTTACACAATAAAATAACAACTCTTAAAGTTCCTCCATAGTTCAGGTCCAAACTGTATTTCAGCTTCCATGTTTACCCCCACAACATCACCTGCTTTCCTGCAGTACTAGACTTCTTTCCATAGTTTTTGTCTTGGGTACCTAATGGCCTGTTTTCCTAAACCTGCTAAAATCCAGTGGCAGGTTTTTCTTAGTCTTCAGCAGTGATTTTGAAGTTCACAGTCATCTTGTGTCTTGAGACTGTTGTCGTTTTCTCTCTTGCCCCTTCTTTTTCACCTTTAAATCTTACCTCACTAATATACAGTGATATTTTTGAATGCTTAGCTTGTTTAAAATAACCTTTTTGCTGATCCATCAGTAT